TCTATTCTAGTGGATATAATTCCAATGTGCACCATGATTTATTTTTTTTAGAAGTAGAAATCACATATTACCTCGGTTTTTCAAAAACTCTAAGGAGAAAAACAATTCAGGAAACTATTTTTCTTTATTATAATTTTTTTGTAAACTAAATGATATATCTCGTCGGTTTCCTTAATAATCGAGGTATAAGATACATAATATTTTACTATAAAGCATTCGTTAGACAAATTTTACCCTAATCCTAACTTATATGTAGCCGCTCCAAACTCGTTAGAAGTAGAAATCACATCATTCTTTTGCGATCCAACTCACAAACTGGTGTTGATGTTGTTGTTGTTGTTGTATTTAGAAGCTTTTAAAAGTTCTCTATGATGGATTGCAAGTGCATAAAAAATAAATTTTCAATGTTGGAACAGATGATTCCTTTAGAAGGTGGATGCATTCAATGCTAGGAACAGATAACTCCTAGAAATTAGATGCGTGCAATATTTGGACCAGATAACTCCTTACACAAAAATTCTATTTTTGCTGTATTATTTTTTTCAATATTATGTATAAATAATGTAATTAAAAAAATATGTTCACCTTCATTTTGTTACAAACTGAGGGGATAACTTAGCGTTCTTAAACAAATATTTGTCGTTCATTTCATGATTATCAACGTTCAAGAAACTACCATTAGTGAACCGTGTGATACCAAAAAAATTTCCATTATAAAGGCTTTATGATATCTAAAATTGATAAAGAAATGTCATGAAGCGATTGAAACAATCTATATCCTCCACTTTAACTTTTGTCATTAGCAATGGATTGCAAGTGCAAAACTATTTGGGTTTAAGGTTTGTGTTTTTCAATATTCATTCGAGTAGAAAATTATTTATTTTATATCATTTTTAAAACCCTTTTATTGTTTTATATCAGAAACAAATACTTGCAAGGTGCATTTGACATTTCCTAAATATCAAGGAGTCAATGATCCAACATATGATCTTCAGGAAGCATTTGACATTGCCCAAATATCAAGGAGTCGAAGATCCAACATATGATTTTTGCTGTATTATTTTTTTTTCAATATTATGTGTAAATAATGTAATTAAAAAAATATGTTCACCTCAATTTTGTTACAAACTGAGGAGATAACTTAGCGTTCTTAAACAAATATTTATCGTTCATTTCATAATTATCAACGCTCAAGAAACTACCAATAGTGATACCAAAAAAATTTCTATTATAAAGGCTTTTTGATATCTAAAATTGATAAAAAAAAACGTCATGAAGCGATTGAAACTATCTATATCTTCCACTTTAACTTTTGTCATTAGCGCTGGATTGCAAGTGTAGAAAATTATTTGGGTTTAAGATTTGTGTTTTTCAATATTCATTTGAGCAGAAAATTATTTATTTTTATATCTTTTTTTCTAACCCTTTTATTATTTTATATCATAAACAAATACTTGCAAGGTGAAACATTTGACCTTACCCAAATATTAAGGAGTCGAAGATCTAACATATGATCTTCAAGGATAAATTAATTTTTATTTTAATATTATGTTAAACAGTGTAATATTCTAGGTAAACATTTAAGTTTGTAAACAAATTATTTTTATTTATTTTCTGTGTAAACAATGTAACGATTTTCTATTAAAAAAAATAATTTATCTTACTCCTCGGTTTATTTGTAAATAGAGATGTATGAGGCGTTAGTTTTGTAAATAATAAAAATGCACATGCCAGGGTTCAGACTCATGTGCAAGTTAACTTACCCATCGTTTTTAATAACCGAGGTTATAAGCCTTAACTTTTTATGACGACGTTTGTTACCTCGCTACTGCAGCCGGGGTAAAATGTATTTCACATCCGACGTTAAAAGCATTTTTTCTAGTAGTGTAGTAAAATCAAAAAATTTGAAAACAATTAGTTCATGGTCATGCCATAATTTACAGATAAAAAAACATCAATCATGAAACATTTAAAATAAAAAATAAAAACAATTTTATCATGTCATTGTTCCTGACTTTTAACGTCAACCTAGATTTTGATATTCCTATGCATTTGGATTTTCAGATTAATTGAACCATATGTAGAAAAATAAGTTTAAGTAGAACTTTGTGAATTTTTTTCGAAAATTTTCAAACAAGTCTTTATTATGAAAACAATTTAAGTATCATAGGTTTTGTGTAAGCTTTAGCTTTGATTTTCATTGCATTCCACCCCATGAAGAAAAGTTTGGCTAGTCCTCAAGTCATCAGAGTATGAATGGTTTTGTAGAGAGCCTTGCTTAGCCACAATATTTCCCGCTTACCCACCAAAATCCAGCAGAACATGCTAAGCACACAACAGGGCTCGCTTAGCAGGCCTTCTACAAAACTTCACACTACCTGCAGTACTTGTTTGAAATTTATCTTAAAACAAACCATAAAATAAAGTAAAGATGTCTCAATATAACGTTCCAAATGGTACTAAAATGTTTTGGGATCTCGAGCATGGTTATGTACTTAATACAAAATACCAACATACCTAAGTTTGTTATGCATGACATTGTTAAATTACATAATACATAAAGAAAACATAGATTGCTCAAAAAATAATTAAATTAAAACAAGAAAATAACTTCACAGTGATAAGGATAAACGTGTAGTATCAGTCTATTCATCACTTTCACTAGTCATATTTTCACTTCCTTTTTCCCCTTATTCATCGTCTTCTGCTTCCTCTTCATCTTCAATGTTCTCTTCTTCATTTTATTCATCATTTTCTACCTTATTTTCTTCTTCATTAGAAGCTTCAGTCTGACCATTTCCTGCCCCACTACCACTAGTATCACCACCTCCAAAATCAGAGTAGAACAACTTATTTGCAGGCCACTACAAAAAGCTAATAAAATCTTTCTGAGTAGGCACTAGCTCATGTGGATCCTACATCCTCAGCCCCAATCTATTCATGAATTAATTGATAGAAATCATACCTCATTGATATGCGTCAGTGACGTCCCAACTATAAGTGAAACACACTCTCTGGTTTGAATCCATGTTATCAAAGTTTTTTATTTCAAATTGTTACTCAGCTTGTGTTGTAGGAAGTTCTGACAGTGGTTATGGTGCTATTTTCTTCGGCTAAAGCAGTAGCGAGAGGCATATATACTATCTATTTTTGACATTTGCAGAAATGATAGTGTTTTGGACTGTCCACATTGGATTGTTTACACAGTTTCATGTTTAAGCTTGGAAATTCAAAGGCAAGTTTTTGTGGGCAACCAATGATTTCCGATATCTTGTTGGATATCACATTGGAAATCCAAGGGTTTTTATTTCAAGAAGTACCATATGAGTTACGTAGTGTACAAAGTACCATATAGAAGAGGAACATCATCTATATTTGGGTCTGGATAGTTAAATTGGATCTCTTGAAATAAATATATCTCCCATCTCGTCCCAACTTGTAGGTTTTCCCAGCTTCACACATGCCCGTTGATATGCGATCATAGTCCCAGTTACCTTTTTCCAATTGGATAGTAGACAGACACAACTTGCTTGGATTAGCCACATAGTCATATTCAATATAAGCATTGATGACTTCTTTGCCAAAAGGAACTATTTGGCCTTTAACCTAAGATGATCTTTCTAGAGGTGTAATTTCTGTGGGCTTAACATTCACATAGAATTACCTTATGATAGAGGTGGCAAAATGGATGGATTGGATTGATATGGATTGGATTGTTAATGAATGGATCAAAGCAATTTATTAATCGACTAACAATCCACTAAACTCTCTTAATAAAAATCCAATCCAATCCATTCATTAAAAGATAAAATCCATCCAACCCATCCATTAACATATTTCTAATGGATGGACATCCATCCAAAAAATTAATTTAAAAATTCTTAATTTAATAAGTGGCAACATAATATCAAATGGATTTATAAAATGAGATGGATGGATTGAATCCATCCATATGAGTTAGTGGATGGATTGGATCAAATCCATTAAATTATTTTTTGTCTTATGGATGAATTTGATGGATAAATTATTGGATGGATTGGATAAATATTATCTAAATGGATTTCATTGCCACCTTTACCTTATGATGTCTATGCTAATGTGCTCTTGAGAATATGCTAGAATGCTCCAACCTCTAGCCTTTGTCTACCCCATTAAAGAAAGTGAAGGCTAAGCTACCACTACGATGGTCTGAAAACTTCGCCTGACTGACTAACTATTATTGAGATGAAAATTTCCACGTAACGATTCAAACATTTCTCAAGTTTTAAAAATGCTAAAATACTATATAATTTTAGTTTTAAAAATGCTAAAATACTATATAATTTGTGTATAATTCAAATATAACATATTTTTTTAATTTGAAACACGAAGAATTTTTTTATTAAACTAAAAAATATATATAATATTTTTTTCTGAATGTTAAATTTGTAATTAATTTTGGTTTTTTAATTTAAAAAATGTGTATATTGATCATCTGACTCTTTAAAATATATCATGTTTGTCATTTTGGTCAAATTAGTCACCAAATTTAACGACAACCTTTTGAATTTTGCTGTTGTTAAAAAAACACTGATATATTATGTTTGAAGAATTATAGGATGAATATAAACTATTTTAAAATTAAAAGATCATGAAATACACAAATAAAAAGAAAAAAGATATTAAACCATTATAGGATCAATATGAACTATTTTTGTGCGCATTAAAATTACAAAGTGATGCACTCACTTAATTATACTCAATGCTCTAGGCACTATCAATAATAACATAAATAGAATTATACCTGATATACTTTCAATAACTAGTCTATGTAGTATGCTTTTATAGTAAAAATTAATTTGTGCTTGGCTGGCACTGATAATTTAACCTGGTTAAAGATATAATGCAAGTATGCAACATAGAAAATACCATACAATATAATATAATGCGATTGCTTTGAACTTTTGAAGAGAGAGAGAGAGAGTTCTGAAAAAGCACATTGTTTGTTACGGAGAGAGATAATGGGAGCTGACGAAGTTGAAGGAGTTTCTGCAGATAACCACAACCGTGACTCCGATATAGAACTCATTGGTGTTCATACTGAAAGATTACCTCACAATGTTTCACTTAACAAAAGAAGAACTTCCAAATTGAAAGTTTCCAATTCAAGCTCTGCTATAGATCTTAGCCATGGCAAATCACAAGAACAAGACGAAGAAAGAGAAAAAGAAGAAGAAGATTACGTTGAAGTTACTATGGATATTCAAGGTGAAACTGTTGCTTTACACAGTGTTAAAACGGTTACTGGAAGTGGAAACAACGATGATGGTGAAGATGAGAAGCGTGTTTTGCTTGGGAAAGGAATGGAGAAGAAAAGGTCTTTTGGTGCTTCGATTGTGCGAAGCGCTTCGATTCGAATGAAGCATGTTTCTCAGGAGTTGAAGAGGTTAGCTTCTTTTTCGAATTCGAAACAGGTTGGACCTGAGAAGGTTTATGATAGGACCAAGTCTGCAGCTTCTCATGCTCTTATAGGACTTAAGTTTATTAATAAGAAAACTGATGGTGATGACGGTGTTGGATGGTCTGAGGTTGAGAAACAGTTTGAGATTCTTACGAATTCGGCGAATGATGGTTTGCTTCATCGTTCGCTCTTTGCGAAATGCATAGGTATGAAAGAGTTCAAATCTATCTTGTAGCACCGACGATTCTGATCGAAGGAAGACTTATGTGATTACATTGAATTAAGTCATTTTATGATGTTATTATTGATATCAATGTGTCAATGTCGTGTCTTTGTGTCTGTGTATGTGATTCAGAGATGTTTGTTGAATTGATATTAAGTATATATGTATAACATTTTTGAGGATGTTTTGGATTTTAATGTAGGGATGAACAAAGAATCTGAGGCATTTGCAGGTGAGTTGTTTGATGCTATGTCTAGAAGGAGGAATATTCATGGAGATTCAATTAATAAGGCACAGTTGAAGGATTTTTGGGACCAGATTTCTGACCAGAGTTTTGATTCTAGGCTTAGAACATTCTTTGACATGTACTAATTCTTAGTTTTTTATTTCTCTTTATTATGAATATATAAAAAAGAAAGAAAAAAGAGTATGCATTGAATGCACTAAAGTGTATTAATTTGGAATGTAGGGTTGATAAGGACGCTGATGGCAGAATCACTGAAGAAGAAATTAAACAGGTATGAAGTCATAAATTCACCACTGACTGACTATTAAGGGAGCTGAAATGTGAACTTTCTGCTACCTAAAATTTTACTTTTTAGTTTCATCGATAAAATGATATTTTTTTAGTATGATTTTCTGTTCCTATCAAAATTGGATTATTCTTGATCATATGTGATCCATTATATGTTGTCAGATTATTTGCCTTAGTGCCACTACAAACAAACTGTCAAACATACAGAAGCAGGCAGAGGAATATGCTGCTTTGATCATGGAAGAACTAGACCCTGATGGCACAGGATTTATCATGGTAATTATTACATATTACGTTAGTGTGGAGATCCATTTACTAATGAGTAAACACTCAATTTGGTATCTAAATGTGCGAGGAAGTGTCACTACAGTCCCCTGACTAATCAAAACTTTAAAAATATTCTTGAGTATTTTGTTAGTAATTTTTGTGCACCAAACTAACAAAGGGAAGACATGTTCAAACAACCAAACTAACTAACAAAAGGCACATTTGAGAATGTTATTTGTAATTTTGATACATTTAAGGGTTATAATGACACTGCCTGAAATATTCAATGACCCAAATGGTTGTTTAGTCATTTACAAATATAGCTACTCATTTTAGCCATATTTCTCTAACTGTTCAGTGATTATTGTTTGAAATACAGGTAAATGACTTAGAGATACTATTGTTGCATGGACCAACTCATTCTACAAGAGGAGATAGTAAGTACCTGAGCCAAATGCTAAGCATTAAGCTTAAGGCTACATATGAATACAATCCTGTTAGGAAGAGGTATAGAGATGCCATTTACTTTCTGCAGGACAATTGGCAAAGAACTTGGATACTGGTACTATGGATTGGTGTTATGTGTGGTCTATTCGCCTACAAATTCATGCAGTACAGAAGGAAAGCTGCCTATGAGGTTATGGGTCATTGTGTGTGCATGGCTAAAGGTGCAGCTGAGACACTCAAATTGAACATGGCAATTATCTTGTTACCTGTTTGCCGAAACACCATCACATGGCTTAGGAACAAGACCAAACTTGCCATTGCTGTTCCTTTTGATGACAACCTCAACTTCCACAAGGTAAATTTTACAACTGGTTGTTCATTCAAGAGTGGCAAGGAGAGAAAACTAATCCATAAAATATTTTGCGAGTAAATGGTGCATGGTTATCTGTATCTTACGTTACATGGAGTCAGATCTCAACTCGATACAAAATTAAATCCAGCCAGTACGAATAACGACTTAAAAGATATTTGGACTTATATTTGGACATGAATCTCGTATTGCATACTAGTTCATTCTAATATGAATCACAACTTAAACTTAGTGCAACCATCCACTTTTTTTTTTTGTCAATTTTGCATAAGCAATCACTTTTCTTTTGTCATTTGATATATAACTTGAATCTTGAATTATGTTGAAGTTCGTATATGATATATATCAGCTTATGGTTTTGTTTTCACTTATTTTTAACTTAAGAATGATGTCTTATCATCGGCAATGTATCTTATGATTCTTAATAAAGATTCAATTCATGATTTGGGGAAAATATCTTCTGATTCAAGATATGTATCTCGATTTCATAAGCATGAAATGGTGAGTGCTTTTTACAGGTGATAGCTGTGGCTATAGCAATTGGAGTTGGTGTACATGCTGTTTATCATCTTACTTGTGACTTTCCCCGCCTTCTTCATGCAAATAGTGAAAAGTACAAGCTGATGGAACCATTTTTCGGAAACCAACCATCAAATTATTGGCATTTTGTGAAATCATGGGAAGGGGTCACAGGGATTTTAATGGTTGTTTTAATGACAATAGCCTTCACACTGGCAAGTCCTTGGTTAAGGAGAGGAAGGGTTAAGCTACCAAAACCCCTCAATAGTCTAACTGGTTTCAATGCTTTTTGGTATTCTCACCATCTCTTTGTATTTGTCTATATCCTTTTGGTTGTGCATGGAATCAAACTTTACTTGACTAAGGAATGGTACAAGAAAACGGTTAGCACCTTAATTCAGTTAACCTTTTTTCTTCTTTTTTATCTATTTTCTCAGCTAATTTTTATATTTTAAGAACTTTATGATGCATGTTTTGTAGACTTGGATGTATTTGGCTATTCCCATCATCATTTATGCATTGGAAAGACTGACTCGAGCACTCAGATCAAGCATCAAGCCTGTGAGAATATTAAAGGTTAGTGTTGAATGTTGAATTACTCATGAAGAAACATATGAAGGATTTAAAATTTTGCTATCCAAATTCATTCATGCATATAAATTACAGCATACTAGTATTATTCATATAACATTCAATAGATAAATCAAGTATTGTGTACCTGGAATTCTGAAGGAAAAAAATTGTTTCATTAAATATCTTTTAGCTAATATATGAAAATTGGATACATAAAAGAGAGGGAAAAAAATTTCTCAAAATGTATGTCTGACCAAATTTGTTATGTCATATTTGAAGGTGGCTGTTTATCCTGGAAATGTGTTGGCTCTTCATATGTCAAAGCCTCAGGGGTTTAGATACAAGAGTGGACAATACATGTTTATAAACTGTGCTGCTGTCTCTCCATTTGAATGGTATGAATTTGAAGAAACATAATTAGCTCTTTTTGCTATATGAAATTTTGCATCAAAATACTACCTTTTATCTTTTCTGTTCCTTCTATTTTACAAAACATCAAATTTCTTTGATGTTAAATATTGTTCATGCTTTCACAGGCATCCATTTTCCATAACCTCTGCCCCAGGAGATGATTACCTTAGTGTTCACATCAGAACATTAGGCGACTGGACCCGGAGTCTCAGAGTCAAATTCTCAGAGGTGTGAATTCAGGTTAACTTTTGTATATGGATAGTAGATATGTTTAACTATGACTTCTCATCTCCAAAAATACTTACTGGTAATATTAATTTAAGATTTATTTGAAAGGAAAAGAAATTGTCCAATAATTTGTAATTTGTAGCTTCTCTATGTGACTAACTAGATTATTGCTTTGGTTCTTTCAGAGCTGCCTTCCACCAACCCATGGGAAGAGTGGACTTCTAAGAGCTGAAAGTCCAAGGTAACACATACTATCTTTGCTTCTAAATATAAGTTTTTTTTGTATGTGTATTTCCTTTAGAGACTACAAATTTATTTAACCCTTAAAATTAAATAGTGCTTTTTTTTAATTAAAAAGATAGATGACCGATATATTTTTGTTAATTTTAAAGGGAAATTACACCCACCTCTTCTAAGATATAAGGTATGTTAAAATGACACTGATATTTTTCTAATTTTAAAATATGCACAACCTTTTTTAAGTTTATATATACCAACAAAATTTTTTATTGACAAGGAAAAAAATCGTACATAAATACCATAAATATTTATGGTTTTTTGCTGTCACTAAAAATTCGACGGAATGTCGGTGACATTTTAATAGACCTTAAAAGAGATTGGTGTATAATTTTAAGAAAATGTCATTGTCATTTTAATATGCAGGAGAAGGTAATTGTAATTTCCCCTAATTTTAATAACATTTCGTGTTACCTAATATTTGAAGCACTATGTGGGTAAGACTTTGAAATTTCTTCAGAAAAAAACATAGATTGTTTGTCTTGTATAGCTTAGATGAGAATAAATAACATAGTTATCAACATTACCAATGCATGCAACAATAGCAAATAGTACCGTGTTCTATTTGCTTACGATTTTATCATCCAAGTGGCTGAAAGGAATTGGTTGTTGTATTGAAGTTTGTACTTCTTTATTAATATCGTCAAAACAAAAAGACAGCGAAAATGGACGCTTGTGTTGAAAATTATGGTTCTTGTTAGCTTAGTAGGTAATCAACCCAGCCCAACATTTTAATTAGTTTTTGGAATGAATTAGGTGACATTGTTTAGTAGTGACACTTAAAATAAATAATATATAGTTTATTGCTTAATGACTAACAAGTGATGATTATTCCACTATGCAGTACTCTCCCTAAAGTATTGATCGATGGTCCTTATGGAGCGCCTGCACAAGACTACAAACAATATGAAGTGGTTTTACTTGTAGGCCTAGGAATTGGGGCTACCCCAATGATAAGTATATTGAAGGACATAGTGAATAATTTTAAGGCCATGGAAGAGGATGAAGGAAACAGTATAGAAGAGGGAACAAGTGGTAAATCACCAAGACCATCTCAACATAAGAAAACTGGTTTGAGTAACTTTAAAACTAAGAGAGCTTACTTTTACTGGGTGACTAGAGAACAGGGTTCATTTGATTGGTTTAAAGGAGTAATGAATGAAGTTGCCGAGGACGATCATAAGGGAGTAATTGAACTTCACAATTATTGCACTAGTGTCTATGAAGAAGGTGATGCTCGCTCTGCTCTTATTGCTATGCTTCAATCACTTAACCATGCTAAAAACGGCGTGGATATCGTCTCTGGAACGCGCGTCAAGTCTCACTTTGCTAAACCTAATTGGCGCAGCGTCTACAAGCGCATTGCACTTAATCATCCACAATCGCGAGTCGGTGAGTTTCCATTCTTCAACTAACAGTCGATTTAGTATCCTCTGCGTGCATTTGCAAGGATAAATCAAACAAACATGATATATTATAATGTGTGCATCACTAAGGAGTGTGATTTATGTAATGCAGGGGTGTTTTATTGTGGGCCACCGGCAATTACTAAAGAGCTTCGTCAATTAGCTTCAGATTTTTCTCACAACACGACCACCAAATATGATTTCCACAAGGAAAATTTTTAGTAATTATAGTGGACATTAATTAGTGAATAGAAATAACGATGTGGGAACATGATGGCCTTCCACTTTTGTCCCACCATTAGGCCACAACTATATTATAGAGATGGGACCATGTGTCCTGGATATAGTGATAATATTTAAAACGTGTTTGTGTCCTTCTATCGCAATTTTCAGGGCTTTGAATAATAACGATGAAAGTTGGTGAATGTTAGTTAAGTTGTGTTTGGCCACCAAATAGGGAAGGACGGCTTCAACGCGTCAGAGGGACATGCCTCAGCAATTGGATCAAAGAGAGACTGGGACTGGATACACACACATTATAGGCCATGTAAATGAGTGGTTATTTCTAATAGTTTAGGCCTTCAAGGGGGAGTATATTAAGCATTTTTTATGATACAAATAATTTATGACAATAATTTACAGAAAATAGTAAATATGAGATTACTCATTATAGGTTTTTAAAGCATCGAGAAATATTTTGATGGGTGGGAATAAAATTATATAGTATAAATCTTCTTATTAGGGGTGTACGCGGGTTGGGTTGGACCGGGTTCGCCTTAACCCGTTACCCAACCCGTTCAACTTTCAATGGGTTGGGTTTATCATCAAACACGTAATTCTACTTTAAAAACTGACCCGAATCAATCCGGATATTTACGGGTTGGGTCCACGGGTTGTGTATATAATAATTATTATTTTCAATTTAAAAAATCTATAACACAATTCAATATAATTTTGCATATTTCAAACAATTAAATTATTTACGTAGTGGAGACAAATCCTACATATAAAATAGAATAATTAAAAATATAACAATTAAAATTTTGAAATGTATTTTCTTTGTCATAAAAAATATTAAGATACATATACACCATTAATTATTTATATATTTTCATTAATATACCTTAATTTATAAAAATTTATTAGTTATTTTGATACTCAAATGTTATCCATTACAAATATATATCAACATAGGTAAAACAAATATATAATAATATACAGTATATATTAGTTGTTTTGATACTCAAATGTTACATTTTCTAGCACATGCTTAAAAGTAGGTCCGTAAACTATCATATATATTAACACTTAATAATATATAAAATTCTATAAAATATTATTTCCATAAAATTCATAAATTCTAAATAATTCAAAAGCAAATAAACATCACTTAGTCTTAAAATGGCATAGATGTATTGGTCCAATATTGGTCTAATAGCACCAAAATCTAACAGCAACTATAAAAGATTCCAACACCAACAGTGAAAGGTTTAGCAACAACAGAAAATCCAACAACAGTAGCTGTAAAAGATTCCAGCAACAACAATGAAACGTTTAGCAACAACATAAAATCCAGCAACAACAGTTAAAAGTTTAAGCAACAATAGTCAAAAGAAGAAGAAAAAAAACAACACTAGAAAATACCTTAAAATCTAGTAGTAACAACACTATAAAAAGGCAGTAAAGTGTAAACTAGAAGTGCATAAGTCAAGCAAGCATGATTAATATTAATAATAATGTTTAATTATAATAATAATAATAATTTAATGTGTGATTGGAAACTGGAAGGAAAGTGCAAAAGATCTTTGTGTACGTTACAATTTACAAAGTTATAGCAACTTTAAAATTTATAAATAATAATAATATAATAATAATAATAATAATAATAATAATAATAATTAATTATGCCACGTCAACGGGTTGGGTCAACGAGTTCATGGGTTTAGAAACTAAAACCCAATACCCGAACCAAATCTATACGGGTTGTTACGGGTTGGATCGGGTATACCCGTAAATGAATGGATCCGGATAATTAGTGGGTTGGTTCGATTTGGGTAGGCGGGTTTGCGGGTCGACCCGCACCCATGAACACCCCTACTTCTTATTATGAAAAGTACATCAATATGTAAACAATAAAATGATATATAATTTTTAAATAAAATTTAGAAGTTATATAACTATATTATTGCTATTTATCCAAAAAGTTAAAAATACGTCGTCATTTACTAGTTATAATTGCTCTTTAAGTTTATTATGATAAACTCTAAATGAGTTTTGAGAATTTCTTAACTCATCCTAGATATTTTTCCTGTATCATGTAAATTTTCATAAATACTTTTTTTTTATTAATTCATCCTAGATATTTCTACCGTACTATGTAAATTTTCACAAATATCTCCCTTATTTTTAGAGATACATTTTCAGAAGCACTTCTTGCATACTCAAATAAGGTCATTCTGAGAGGCGCCCTATAAGTTGAATTATTTTTATTCCGAAGATGCATCTCCGAAATATTTTAAGAAATACCTTAATTATTTACCAATTCAGTAGGAATTTCGGAGTTATATCTCCAAAATTACTGGCAGTATTTTAAAGTATTCTGTCACCTTTGCATGTCAGATATTTCAGGAGATGCATCACCGAAAATATTTGATAAAAGAACCAGTTGCATGATCACACAACCATTGTTGCCATAGTTGGTTTTCAACCAAACCCTTCACCAAAAAATCCTTCATTCTTAATCCATTTTTTACTCCAAATCTCCATTATTTTCGTTCATCACATCATAGGGAGCAAAAGAAGATAATATTTCAGGTAAAAATTCTTCTTTTTCCTCTGCATTGCTCACATTAATCATCATTTTTTTCTTCTGAAAAAAGTTGCGTTGTGTCCCGAAATGTATCTCTGGAACGTGTATGAAGTTTTCCAAAAATTCATTTTCGGAAGTTGTCTGTGTTTTATTTTCAAGTTTGTCTTCAGCAGTAGCACTTATGTACTGTTATGGTTTTAATTATCTGTGTTTGATTTTCATTAGATATGGCGCACCCTGATATTTTTCTAAAACAAGTTGTTTCTCCGAATGTCCAAGGTGTTGTTGTTTCTCTGATTGTCTAAGGTGTTGTTGTAAAGGCGGTATATATTGGCAACCAATTTATAAACAAGAAGAGTTTGAATCTCATGATCAAATGCTTCAATGAATTCGTATGGAGACATCTAAACTTGGATTTGGTGTGGTTATCAGAAGTTTCAATAATGGTTCAGATGGAAGATGCGTTTTTGTGACGATGACATGCGAAAGACGCAGAAAATATAGAACTCCTTTCTGGAATTTTAAAAGAGATGATACCGATACAAGAAAATGTGATTGTCTGTTTAAGATGTGGAAGTACATGTTGGCAAACAAAAATTGGAGATTTAATGTGATTTGTGGTTTGCATAACCATGATTTGTGTTTAAAATTAGCCAGTCATCCTAGTGTTTGTCGGCTCAAGCCAGAAGATAAAGAAAGTGTTGCTGACATGACTTTGAATCTGGTTCAACCAAAAAATATACTTGCGACATTGAAACGAAAATAACCCAAAAATATATCAAATATCAAGCAAGTGTATAATATTCGGTATCTCATTAACAAGGCGCTTAGGAGGGATATAACTAAGATGCAACAACTCTTGAAACTGTTGGATGATAACAATTACGTGTCTAGGTTCTAAACGTGCAATGATGGAGTTATTATTAGAGATATATTTTGGACTCATCTCGATTCCATAAAGTTGTTCAACATGTTTCATACAGTGCTCATACTTGATTCAACCAACAAGATCGACAAGTATAGACTTCCATTTTTGGAGATGGTTGGTGATACCTCAAATGAGAAGACATATTCTGTTGGTTTTGCATTTCTTGAGTGTGAAAAAAAGACAATTTTACTTGGGACTTAGTGGTGTGTCATACACTGTTGAAGGACCAAGGTGAGATGCCTAAAACGATTGTTACCGACCATGATACTGCATTGATGAATTCGGTTGCAAATGTATTTCCTTCTTTAATTACATTACTTTGTAGATAACACATAACAAAGAATGTGAAAAGTCGGGTTAAACTCGCGGTAGGACGAAACAAATAGAGTCTTAAGATGTAAAAATAGTGAAGGTGAGCAAGGTTGTGGAAAAAATAATGGATGCATGAAATCGTATAATAAATTCTTCCACAAAAGAACTATATGTCGATTATGTTATGCATTTCAGGAAAGTGTGTGAAAAGTATTCATATTTATTGAAATATGTTAAAAACACAATTCTTGACCAGGTGAAGGAGAAGATAGTTTGTGCGAGGGCTAATAATGTTAGACACCTTAGAAACACAACAACTAACATAGTTGAGTATGCCCATGCTACTTTGAAAAATTGATCGGCAAATAGTAAGGGCGATTTGCATAGAGACTAAGACTCTGTAAACCACATGATTCAAAACCAGCATAATGAGATACAAATAACATTTGGTCGGAGCATCACAGTTTTAGAACACATATTTAAAGAACAATTGAGGAAGATTTCCTATCCGGAAACCACCGACATGAAACTGACCTCTCAACCCATAAAAAACCAAAGGGGCTCCAAAGAAAATGAAGCCTACACCGAATGAAAATTCGACTACACGGTCTCCTTCATATTTTGAGCATGTTGATAAAGTTTTTCCCGATTCACCGACTCCAAAATCTCAAAGAATTGTTATCAAATGAGCTCGCATTAACAAACCACCTTCGACACCACCTCCACCAAAGATTCCATTCATCAACGAGATGCCACCTTTTATACACAAATACATAGAGCAGATCATCAATATTGTGGGGGATGGTAATTGTGGTTATCGAGCAGTTTCAACTTTACTCGTTAAAGAAGAAGATAATCATACACTTGTCCGCCATCAAGTTATCCAAGAGTTGAAGACGCATAAAGAATAATACACATGGTTGTACGGAAAGAAAGAAAATTTTGATGAAGTTTATGAGTATCTTGTTCCTTGTATTAGCGGTCCGGCACCAGAGGCAAAATGGATGCGCTTCCCTGAAATAGGTCACTTAATAGCATGTGCATATAACAGAGTGTGTATTGACCTGACACACTACGGTTTTTAGAAAACCTTTTTCCCCCTACGCACCGCCCCACCTCAAAATCCAAATGATTGTTTTTATGTGTATAAGGCGACTTTCAAAATTAAGTCAC